AGCTGTTTAGACACATTTGTTTATTTCCCTAGCATATGGAACATTTAAGGTATGTCATGGTATAATTTTTGCAGGAGCCAGTCAGCCTTGAAGTCACTAAAGAGCCAATGGATTTGGTTATTTGGTCATATTGCGCCCTCTGCTGGCTTTGTGACTCTGAACCTTTGATGTAACTTTTGCTGCAGGGTGACGTTGGAGGTGAGAGGGTGCTGCAGAAGAAGTGGACCACTTTCCTGAAGGCCCAGCTCTTGTGCTCGCTGCCTGATGACGGTTTCCCCTTTAACATAATCCAAGACATGTTTGTGCTCACGCCAAGCCCCGAGGACTGGAGAAACACCGTGTTTTATGGAGTCTTCACCTCTCAGTGGTGAGGAATAAACTCATTTTCATGTGTTGCATTATTGTACAGATTTTCCATGCATGAATAAATGTACTTCTGAGAATTTTAAGATTTATTTCACTGCGTCTGTGAATTTGCAGCACAGAAAGTTAAAACATGTATTTTCATTTATTTATTTATTAGTATTTTCCACACATTTTACAGTGAATGAGAATTTTGACCATGGGTGTGTGCTACACTGTTAAACTAAACACATTTTAAAATGATTTTTATCACCAACATTTTAATCGTATTTATGAATTTTTTTTCAAATGTTTCAATTCAATACTAAATAATTTTGTCTTGGCATTAGCCCATCTTAAAAATCAGTAGATTTTGCCTCCAAAGTTAAAATTCAGTCAGTCTGCCAGCATTTTCATTGAGTTATTTGTTTTCTAAGGTACAAAGGTGCATCAGGGAGCTCTGCGGTGTGTTCCTTCACTATGGACCAGGTGGAAAAGGCCTTTAATGGGAGATACCGCGAGGTCAACAGAGAGACCCAGCAGTGGTACACATACAACCATCAGATCCCAGTGCCTCGGCCAGGAGCTGTGAGTGCTCACACGTCGCCATCTGCTGGAACGCCTCAACACACCGGCCTGTTTCAGATGATCCCAGCTAAAATGCGAAATGTGTTGTTTCCACAGTGTGTCACTAATGCTGCCAGAGAGCAGGGCATCTCCTCCTCACTGCACATGCCAGACAAGGTCCTGAACTTTGTCAAAGACCACTTCCTAATGGACAGTGTGATTCGCAGCCAGCCACTGCTACTGAAACGCAGCATACGCTACACACAGGTAGCCGTCCACCGAGTCCAGGCGACTAAGAAAGTCTATGATGTGCTTTTAATTGGCACAGGTATGGTGTTTTTAATGTCTTTGTCGTCTTTATTTAATGTTTACAAAAGTCTTTACTGATTTCAAGTTAAACTTCCCTTTTATTTAGATGATGGGAGACTCCATAAGGCCATCAATGTCAAAAACAAGATGCACATAATTGAGGAGATGGTGCTTTTCCGTGATTCCCAACCAGTGCAGCACATTGAGCTGGACACTGAGAAGGTAAACGTGGCTGGTCTACCTCCTGGAGCTTTTTCAGGAGTACAACCAAATAGTTAAAAAGTTGAATTTACTGGCTGTTTATAGCTTCCGCGAGCCTTTATCAGCTGCAGCCTAACAAGCAGATCCTGAGTTCAATGAGCTAATCACATGCAGATTTCTTTCACAGAGGGATGTGCACACAGCTGGGGTTTTAACAGCTGATTCGTGACACTTCCTGAATCCTAGCATGTGTTTAGTTATGAATTCCTTTTAAATTGGTTGAAAGAAAACCTACTGTGGCATATTTAGATCAGGGTCATCATGCAGGGATAGCAAAAGAAATAACTAGATTTGGGGTATTTACAGTCTAACTTACAGCTTTGTTATCTCCCCTCTACAGGGAAAGCTTTATGTTTCCTCTCTCGCTGAACTGGTGGAGGTCCCTGTCGCTAACTGCACTAATTATCAGAGCTGTGGGGAGTGCATCCTCTCCAGGGATCCATACTGTGCCTGGAATGGGAGGCAGTGTGTGGACATCAGAAGTGCTCCTGCTAGCAAGTATGAACCATTTATTTAACAATATTTCATCCTTTTAAATGAAATGAGAACTCTAGAAGCCAGGAGAAAAATTGACAAGCAATTTTTGAAGATAATGCATCTGTTTCAGTACTTTGCAGCAGGACATAGATGGAGCAGACACATCAAGTATTTGCAACAAGACCCTGCTGAGTCCACGGGTTTCTAAACCTCCTTTAACACGTATGTGAATCCATCTTTTGAACTCAATGTGTCAAACCAATTATCATTCTGAATCTCTCACCAAACAAGGTGGCAAAGCTTATTTCATGCAGCATCTGACTCGATCCGCTCTGCTCTTCCCACAGGAGCATCAGCGTGCCAGGTGATCATTATCCCAGCCAACACGTTCAAAGTACTGCCCTGCAAGCTGCGCTCTAATCTGGCTGAGAGGAGGTGGCAGTTCAGTGAAAGCTCAGGTCATTTTCATTACCCGAGCCCGGAGGGGGGACTGGTAGTGGTCGCTCAGGCTGGCAGGCAGGTAACTTACGAGTGTTGGTCGGTGGAGGAGGGCTTCAGACAGCTGCTGGCGAACTACTGTGTGAGGGCTGAGGTCAAGCAGGAGAGCACCACGCTGATAGGCCGATCCCGTACACCGCACTTCTCCCAGGAGGAAGTCATCATCCTGCCGGGGGACAGTCTCTTGCCGCAGATCAACACCAAGACCTACTGGAATGAGCTGATTGTGGTGTGTGCGCTCCTGGGGTTTTCCATCATAGTCTTCTCACTGTTTGTGGTTTACAGGAACCGTGACCACATGAAGTCAGTGCTAAAGGAGGGGGAGTGCCCAAACGTGCAGCAGAAGAAGCCCAGGATAGTTGGAAAACCTGCAGAGAACTTACCGCTTAATGGCAGCACAGTCACGCCGTCAGCATCAGATCACAAAGGGTACCAGACCCTAAACGATAACTACATCTGCAGCACTCCGCCGCACGAGTGCTCCTCACCGGACAACAGCAAGAGCTTCTCTGAGTCCGACAAAAGGCCTCTGAACTTAAAAGAGAGCCACGTAGAGATTTCTTCCACATGTCCACAACCACGGGTCAGGCTGGGCTCTGAGATTAAAGACTCAATAATCTGAGGCCAGTTTCTTGTTACACGGATAAACTCACACAAACAAAGCGCACTTGTTTGGAAAAGATGGAGCAAAAACCCAAGACTCAAACATTTCATTACAGAAATTTTGCACTTTGTCTTCTTTGGTTCTGTTCCTGTGGTTCTTCATGCATTTTGTTTCATTCCCCTCTCACACCTTCTCATTCAAGTGCATTTGAAGCACACTGAAGAACCTTCAGTTTGCCTTCAGACTTCTGATGCTTTCACACATTCATATGAGAATGTAACAGACACAGAAATGGCATCTCGGATGTCTTTTAGTGATTCAGTTTCAGGGCATTTCCACACTTTCCGTCCTTTACGATCTCCCGGTAATGCCTTGGAAGGCAGAGTATTACACTAGCTTGATGCCACCTAACCTGGCACAGTGTCTGATGATTTATCGTCATCCTGCCATCTGAGAGTCAACGCTTCGCTGAGGCGTTGCACAATGTACTGTACTTTTAACCACTGACATCAGGGTTAAAGCAATAGTTCAAAACTTTTAAAGAATGGTTCTTTGAAATGGTGAATCACAATAAATATTCCCAAGTATTGTAGACGGCCCTTTGAGCAACCTCGGTTTTTTACCACACTGACAAGCTAACGGCTACCGTTACCTGGTCCAAGATCAAAGGGGATTGTTGCCACCTTAAAAAAATCAAGAAAATTGTTGCATGAACAGATTTGAAATGTTTGAGATTTGAGTTGTTTTAAAGTGACATCCATATACTTTAGTCCTTGACCTACTCAGCCTAGCCTTTAGCTTGTCAACCCAGTCAAAATGAAGCTCTCGTCCTATCAACTGAGGCCATTAAAGGTGTGGGAAACTGGTTTAATCTTTTGCAGTGATCTCTGGTATGAACTTAGCACGTCAGAATTTGGAGTCTTATTTCCTGATATTTGGACATCTCATTTGGACAACGCAACTCTACCACTGACTCTGTTTGCTCTTCGATGTGGATGTTTTATCTCAACACATTCTCACACCCGAAGCTTTGAAAAATGACGCTGGGTGACCAAGCGTTTGTTTCAATCTGCTGCGATAAAACGGAGATTTCACCGAATTGTGACCTTTACCCTCTTGCTATGTAACCGTTCCCTCACCCTCCCCCATCCAAACCTTAACCCTCTTGCACTTTCTAAACTTTGTTCCTAGTTGTAACATCCCTCTCCAACATGGTTAATGGGAAGTTTAGAATGAGCAACAGGGTTAAGGTTAGGATAGGGGTGAGGAGTGAAGGGAAGGTTAAATAGCAAGAGGTTAGAGGTTAAATGTCGGTGAAATAGTAAGTAAGTAAATTTTATTTATATAGCACTTATCACAGACATAGAATCACTAAGTGCTTCACATAGAACAAAACAAAATAAAAATAAGTCATAAAATCATAAACAGATTCACGTCATAATATCAAAATGCTCTCAAAACAGAAATAGATTAACATCAGAAAAAATAGTCATAAAATTATGATTTTTCATAAACAGAAGAAAGATTAAAAATTTGAGTTAAAAATAAGAAAATAAAAGGTTTAGTTAAAAGCAGCTTTAAATAAAAGGGTCTTTAGCTGTTTTTTAAAAGTGTCCAGACTGTCAGTGCTGCGTAAGGATAAAGGAAGATCATTCCAGAGTCAGGGTGCAACAGTCTGGAAGGAGCGATCACCTCGACTTTTATATCTGGTCTTTGGAACTTCTGGAAGGTTCTGGTGTGTGGACCTGAGGGCTGGGTTGGAGCATCAGGCTTAAACAGTTCAATATTATAGGGAGGAGCTTGACCATGTAGAGCATTGAAAGTTATAATCAGGATTCTAAAATGAACTCTAAAGTTAACGGGTAACCAGTGCAGAGACATCAGAATAGGAGTGATGTGTGCTCTTCTGTTTGCTCCAGTTAGGAGCCTCGCTGCAGAGTTCTGGACCAACTGAAGGCGGTCAAGGGCTTTTTTGTTAAAACACGTGAAGAGTGTGTTACAGTAATCTAGACGAGAGGAGATAAAGGTATGGATAACCATTCCAAGTTCATGTTTTGACACCAACCTTCGCAGTTTGGAGATATTTCTTAAATGATAAAAACAGTTTCGGACCAACGTTTTTGAGTGGCCTTCAAGAGACATTTATTGGTCAAAAAACACCCAAATTCATTACGTTTGTCTTGACTGCAGAGGATAAATAACCAAGTTTTAAACTAATCGGGGGAATCATGCTCTCAGGGGGAATGATCAGACATTCAGTCCTTTCAGAGTTTAACTGAAGGAAGTTATCGTCTAGCCAGCTGGTGATAGCTGATAGACATTCTAATAATTCAGACAGTTTATAGAACTCAGAATCCTTAAAGGAGCAGTACAGCTGAATATCATCTGCATATAGGTGATAAGTGACATAATGAAAAGAATCAAGTGTCTGTCCAAGAGGGTGTATGTACAGCAGAAACAACAGTGGACCCAAAACAGAGCCTTGGGGTACCCCACGGAACAGATCAGTAGAATTTGACATGATTTGGTTTATACAGACACTGAAACTTCTGTTAGAAAGGTACAAATTAAACCAGTCTAGAACAGTTCCAGAGATCCCCACCGAGTCACCAAGTCTGTTGATTAAGGTGTTGTGATCAACAGTGTCAAAAGCTGCAGACAGATCTAACAATACTAATACTGTGAACTCCCCGTTGTCTGCAGCCATCATGATGTCACTGGAAACTTTAAGCAAAGCTGTTTCTGTTGAATGCTTTTTACGAAAACCAGACTGGAATTCATCAAAACTGTTGTGTAGTTCCAGAAAAGTAATCAGTTGATCTGCCGCAACCTTTTCCAATATTTTAGAGATAAAGGGTAATTTAGAAATGGGTCTGTAATTTTTAGGCTGAGATGAGTCCAAACTTGTTTTTTTTAAGAATAGGTTCAATAACTGCATATTTGAAAACAGATGGTACAGAGCCAGATTGTACGCATAAATTAATAAAATCAACAGTGCATGGGCCAATTTGGTCAAACATCCTGATTAACAAGAAATGTGCGTTTTACCGCAGGTGTCGGAAACCGATGCTCTGGCATAGCACGTCGCCTCCGTCAAAAACAAATGCTTGGTCACCCAGCGTCATTTTTTGATGCTTCGGGTGTGAGAACGTGTTGTTTATCTCCTCAACTAAAACAAGCCTGGAGGAGCTTCTGCTGTGTGATGGAGTGGCTAATGCTAACAGCTTCTGCTAGCTGATATTCTCTGCTGATTCTGGATGCTAAAACAAAACAACCTTCCCCATTGCACACCAGTATTGGCAAGTCTAAGCAACCACTTAACATTGTCAGACTTTTCAAATCCTAGAGTCTCACCATCTATTTTCTGTCAGAAGCTAAAGCAGGAGATATGTGTAGGAGACTGTTTTCATGTTCAGCCTGCATGAAAAACTCAGAGTGACGATTATAATCAGAAATATCATTAAAAATGTTTCCAGTGTTCCACACTTTAAAAAGTTCCCTTATACAGGTGAGAAATTATTGTTCTTTACTTTTTCACAGAACCTCATTTAAAAGATCTCAACTATCCCTTTAACATAAGTAAGACGCGGCAAGGAAAGACAGCTTTTAAATATCTTTCAAACACATCGACTCACTGAAATATCACATCAAACAATGCATTTACATCAACTTCAAAGGTTTGATCTACATTATTATTAAAAATAAAAAAAAGAATATTTTTTATCTGTAAGAAACTCCCACAAGCTCAAATTATACACAAAAAATATATTAATATAAACAAAGACAGATGTACTTTTAAGTATTTCAATATGTACTGTGTGTAAATATTGTTTTCGTGAGTTCTAACCTAGATTATTTTATTTTACTGTTCTTTCTTGGGGTTTTGTCACTGAATGCGATAAAGGGGGAAGGTCCATTCTGGTTGGAATCACAAAAGACGGTCTATGCAAAGCAAATAATGTGAAGTGAGGTAAATACGAGGACAACCCTCACCATGACACTGGGTAAGCACAAGGGTGTTGGCGCTGTGAGTTACTTTTCAGTCAGTGGCACTGAAAAATAAAAATAAATAAAAAACACACCCACTCACTAATTATACTAACTGCAAGTATGCAACAGATTTAGTCATTTTTTGAGTGTTTGCAGATGTAAAATAATAACAACTCTCAGAAATAGGCATTAAAACAGACAAAACACAATAATCCAGCACAGCAGAGTAAACATATTTTTTACAGTGATGTGGCCAAATGATTTTGCTGCACATAGGCATTTGGCGTAGTTAATTATTTGACAGTTTTAACTATCTCACTGCACACTCATAGGGAAATGTTAAATATTGATACTTTTTGGTTAAAATACCCCATCTGTACACACATACTAACTAGTTGATAATATAAAAATAAAACAACTGCTTGCTCAAATGTTTAAAGCAAAGCAATAATGTTCATTTAATTATGCAGAAATAAATAATGAACCACATATAACTACATTTATCATTGCATTTTTCATATCTAGTTGGATTTTTTGTTGCAATTTGAAATAAAGATCTAACAGACAAACGAGAAGCATAAAACTGGGATTTGCACATGATGTTTGAAGCCTTAGTACTGAAACATTTGTAGGGATGAGTGAAAATGAATAAATGCCTTCTGACACAATAAACATGTGACGTGCCTCTGGAGGTGATAAACTGACCGTGTGATCAAGTTTTATGGGTAAATATTAAAGGTGTGAAAGAAACGGCCGTTCGTTGAAACAACTGGACACAATCCATACATGCATAGGTATCATGATCTGTCGGCGTCATGTAACACTTCTTTTTGTTAAAAAATATATTGTTGGACTAAAGCTATCACTGGGGAATACATTTCATTCTTAAATCATGATTCTTAATTGTGGTATTATGTTACATATTACTGTAAAAAAACACTTCAGAAGTCAATTTTAAAGTCACTCATGCAGTATGAAAGACTTGTGCTTTGACTGTTAATAACAATCACAAATGCCACTGTTGGTGAAGTGACTGTCATTAGAACAACATGTACACACACAAATATATATATATATATATATATATATATATATATATATATATATATATATATATATATATATATGAATACAAGCTGAAACTATTAATGCCACCATGAAAGTATTGCTGTCTGCTTCCTCCAGATGAACCACTGCAATCTGGCCTTCGTGACTTAGTGACAGCACAGGCTCTTATCGACATGCATTGTACAGCCATTAAACAATGTATTTTGTAAATAGTTTTGTAAATTAAGCTGCCAATGTACAATTATTGTGAACTGTATTTTTATATCATACATCACTACTGTTTTTGTTTGTTTAGTCTTGTTTTTGTATATTAAAAAGCACTTTATTTTAATTTTTCAAATAAAGATAAAGTAAATAAATTCTTAATATGGTAATGTCTGGATTTATTATGATGTAATGTATATTCCCACCCCTTTTCTTTAGGTTTCAGAAGGTCTTATTTATTTATTAAATTTTTTTGTAGTTTAATCCTGGCAGGGTGGGGTATATAGTCACATTTCTCTGCAAACATCGAACTAGCCCAGATTGAGGTGTGTGTGTGTGTGTGTGTGTGTGTGTGTGTGTGTGTGTGTGTGTGTGTGTGTGTGTGTGTGTGTGTGTGTGTGTGTGTGTGTGTGTGTGTGTGTGTGTGTTTGTGATACACCAAAGGCAAACAGACGTACTTGCTTATCTGTCCTGGGTCTACTGTGCTAGCCTCCCATTACTACCTGCGGCCGCGGGAGGTGTCCCCGCCCACATTTTCACCTGAACCAATCATAATGCTCTCTCAGACTGTTATTTTTTGGGGCGCTCACAGCTGAGACGCGTTTATCCAAGGAGCTGGGTCTCACGTGAGCGTTTTGGTATTCTGAATGTTTTTGTTGTTTTAATCTAAAAGTATGGACCGACCCAGCAGCCTTCGGAGACTTTTCTCGGCCTGTGACGTGAACAAGTCCGGTAACATAGAGCTGGAGGACTTCATGGCGGTCTGCAGGGAGCTCAGCGTCCCTGAGACTGAAACCCAAAGGCTGTTCGAAAAGTTTGGTGCGTGTGAAGATGGTTTAATCGACTACGAACGATTCTGCTCAAAGTTTCAGGAGGTTTCAGAGACTCTGGATCTGGCGTCCTTTTACGCAGGGGCTCCCCAAACCCCGTGGGAAGAGTTTATGGGCAGGATGGATGCGGCGGACTTCCTCCTCTCTGAAAGGTAGTCACCACAGGGGTCAACGAGCAACAATAGCTCTTCCTTAGGCTTAAAGTAGTCCTAATACTTTAAAGTAGTCCTTATAGGCTAGTTTAAAATGGGTTAGGTTTAAGGAGTTATTCAGTCTTTTTTCATGGAATTTAATAAATCATAACATTTCCACAACAGAAGCAGTGGTGGAACTAGGATTTTTCTGGGTGTGGGGCTTAAGGGGCCACCATATTTATAGAGGCCAAGTATTAGTCCAACAGACAGCCTTGCACAAGATTTGACTCTGGAAACTCCTATTTGACACATTAATGCCACTAGTGTTTGGATTTGTAATATAAAATAATCTGATTCTGTAAAAGAGCTCTAAACATTTAATACTTCTAAATCTAATCATTTTTACATATTTTTCTGCAAAAATGAACTCGTATTTAAACTCTTCGTTATCCATACTTATTTTTAGCAAAGTTTTATATTTTATTCTCTATTTTTAAACTTAATATTAGAAAGTAGTTGCATGTTTTTTCCAAAAAGGACAGCAAATCTCTTGGTGTATTGGGGGGGGGGGGGGGGGGGGGAGATAATCTTAATCCCAGGGTTCTGTATTTTTTCCCCCTCACAATTTTGATAAACATTTATCAGTGTCTCCAACACCCCCCCCACCTCCCACCCCCACCCCCCACCGCCAAATTATAAATGGTCTTATTTTAAACGGTCCATTAACAAGTTTTATTCCAGTGGACTGAGGGGAAAATGGCTCTTTGGATTCTAAATGTTGCAGTCTTGATTTAGCATGTGTCATGGTGAGATGAATACAATGTTCATCCATCCACTTTCAGCCGCCTATCTGGAGTCGAGGCGAGGAGGCAGCAGCCTAAGCCGGGAGGCCCGGACTGCCCTCTCCCCAGCCACTTGGGCCAGCTTTTCCAGGGGAATCCCTAGGCGTTCCCTGATCAGCAATGAGACATAGTCCCTCCAGTGTGTCCTGGGTCTTCCCCTGGTTCTCATCCTGGTTGGATGTTCCCAGAAATCTTCACCAGGGAGGTCCAGGAGGCATCCAACCAAATGCCTGAGCCAACTCAACTGGCTCCTCTTAATGTGGGGGAGCATGGATCTACTCTGAGCCCATCCCGGTTGACCGAGCTTCTAAAGCCTGAGTCATGCTTCTGCGTCAGCGCGGAGACACGCAACGCCATTATCCATCCTTGCGGGCCTGCTGGAGAGCTACGCAAGGACGCACGGAGTCGAGCTCTCTTTTCTAAACATCCATCCGTCGAGACGGACAACGCAAGCTTGTGATTGGTCAGGACGCCGCTGTCGTCTACACCGCCGCCATTGCGCCCTTAAAAACATAAAGAGCGCTGAGGATAACTAGCGGCATGAAGCAGCTTGAAAAAACTCTAAAAACTTGTATGTTTAATTCCCCGTGACTGGAGGAGTGAAATGATGCGCAGCAAGCGTTTTATTTGTGGACAGAAATGACAGGAAACGTGGGTTTAGAGGTGGCGAGCGTATGAAGAGGTGGAGGAGGATGAGAGACAAATTTGTCCGTTAAAAAGTGTCTTATATACAAAAAACCACAATATAAACACACTATCTTGGACCGGATACACGACTGGATATCACAGAACAGCGCTACGCCCTCTGTTGTCCTGGTGGGGAATTGCTTTGCAACACTCTCCAGGAGATGGAGAAGTGAGGGCAAAACATCTCCATCCGTGCGTGTGTGTCTCTCCCTTTTGGAGCTGACGGAGAAGCATGAATCAGGCTTAACCCTATCTCTAAGGGAGATCCCAGCCGCCCTGCAGAGAAATAACAGTTTGTCCGCTTGGAAGTATCTGTTTTTTTTGGTCACTACCCAAAGCTTGTATATCGAGAGCCTTGGCGTCCGGCTCAGCTCTCTCTTCACCAAGACAGACCGGTACAACACCCACACCACTGCAGACCGCACCAATCCACCTATCGATCTCATGCTTCATCTTAAACTCCTCCACTTGAGGCAGGACCTCATCCATGACCTGGAGAAGGAGTGCTACCCTTTTCTGATAAATACAGTAAAATAAACTTAATAAGTTGTGTCACTGTTGGTGAAACTAAAATAGTCAATGATGGAGCTTTCAATCTAAATCTAAATAATGCATAAAATGTATCCTTGCAGCATTAAACACATGCACATCAGACACTAGTATGTGTTTAAAAAAAGAAAATGTCTCATTTCAAGAGTATTTACAGTCATCTTTATTTTTGTGATATATATATATATTAGGGATGCACCGATCAGGTTTTTTGCTGCCGATCACCGATACCGATATAAAAGAATGCTGATCACCGATACCGATCACGTGGATTGGCCAGAAATTTTCTACATTATAATGAGTGCTACAAACTACATAATCTGGGAATAAAGGAAATGTAACCTAATCTAAAATGGTCCGTATTAGGGTTGTCACGGTGTGAAAATTTAACCTCATGGTTATTGTGACCAAAATTACCACGGTTTTCGGTATTATCGCGGTATTTTTTTAAACGTGCTACATTTTCACACAATTAAATAAACCCTGTATATCAGGAAAATATTGTCCTCAATTTGTGTCTAAATTTTGCCTAAAATGTGCTATTTTGTAATTATGTTGTTTACTTTTTTACATTTTTTCCCTTTAGTCTTTAAAATACCAATATTTGCCCATAACTTCTTATTTTATGTCTGTTTGATGTCATCATTTAAAAATATTAGATCAGATGATACTCAGTACTCAAGTAGCCTTCTAATCAGATACTTTTTTACCCTTACTTGAGTAATAAACTCTATATCAGGAAAATATCGTCCTCGGTTTGTGTCCTTCCAGTGAGCTTTGAAGATGTGGGAAAATGTCATCAGGCAGTAATCGTTGTTAAATTCATAATTATTCTCGGAGAGAGACCAACTCTTATCTGCCCCTGGGAGTCCCGTAATGCATAGCGTCATTTCAACATGGGGGTGTCCGCGACACGGTTTATATGCAGGTAGCGGCGCTGCGGCAGCTTTATATAGCGACTCGTTGCATTCTCCCTCAACCCATATCCTCAGATCACGCATTTTAGCTAAAACGCTAACGTTAACTTGCCTTGCGTTGACTGCAGAGATGTGGGTGATGGTCACGCAGATGTGTCATGAGATATGAAGCGTTGCTGCCTTTCACAGACACTTTTTCTGCTTGTGCTGCAAACAGGATAGCCGTCCGTCCGTCTTCTATAAACTCCCTCGGCATTCTTCAAATATCTAAAATATGCCCGTACTTCCCACTTTGTCTTCTTTGAGGGATAATAAATGCCCTCCTGAGCGCTGCCGTCTCCCCCTTTGACCATTATTTCAGCTTTAGCTTCAAGAAAGTTTTGTTGTAAACAAAGCGTGCATGAGCCGCCGGCAACTTCAGCCGATGATACGGTGGCTGGTAAGGGTCACCGCGCCTACACCGCAGCCACGGTAAACCCACCAAGATAATATAGTTTTTTAAAAAACAAGACGGTTATTATTATCGTCAACTTTTTTTTTTTACCGGGGTTTACCGCTACACTAGTTACCGTGACAACCCTACCTGATCGGTTTGCTTTGATCTATTTTGAAAATTCCGATCAAAACCGATAGGGGCGCTATCGGCCGATTACGATCAAATGCCGATCCATTGGTGCATCCCTGATATATATATATATATATATATATATATATATATATATTTTTTTTTTTTTTTTAATGTAATTTAGTTTTCTTAATTGACTGTACATTAGAGAGCGATGCCTGACCAAATTGAATTGTACTTATAGAGCACCTATACAATATTTTCTCCTTCTTTCTACTAACAGGAATTAATTCTTGGAAATAGCATAGTATTGCTTTATTCCAAACATGGATATGCTGGAGTGAAAACTAATAAAGATATCAATGGAAGATAGTTTTGTATTAGTAAATCTGTTTTTCCTTATTATTGACACAGTTTCTGGGACGGTTGTGCTGCTGCTGCTGCTGCTCATGCAAACATTTTGTTCTCGTCTTTAGTCTCAGGGAGCAGCTGGCTGATCTTTACCAGGCCATTCACTCCTCTGCAAACACAGCATTTCTGCAAACATACGAGGAAATCATCTACTCTTTTGCAAGCCAGAGCTGGGAGAACAAGCTGGAGTGTGACCAGCTGGAGACCAGCTTGAAAAGGTAAAGAATAATAAAAAAAAAACATATTTCTAGAAGGTGAATTAAGGTGAGCAGTCTCTCGTTCACCTCTCTGGCTAAAAGTTTCAAGAACCTGACTTCAGAGAGCCTTTTTAAAATTTGAAATAAAAGTGCTCGAATTTAATTTTAGCAAAGAATCTAAGAACCCAGTTTTAAGGAATATTTCAGTCATGTAGAAGTGTTTGTGGTAAAGGTGAAGGTTTACGTTCACACCTGCTTTACTCGAGCTCACAGCAGAAGGGGGATATTCCTTGCTTAAGGAAGTAGGAAGATCTAAATGCGTTTCTCTTCCCAGACATTTGATTGTTTTTCAGCTCCACATGTCTGCCTTTTGTGTTTAGCTCTTTGTTTTATTAAGTACATATATTTCTTGTAAAATAACAAAGTCTGTACACCTGTGGAAATGTTGTGTGGAAAGTCCGTCCCTCTCTGAGCTCTGATTGGTCCTATCTAGTTAAAGCAGAGCAGTCACAGCGGGTGTGTTTTTATTCTCCTCTTGCTATTTTTTGTCTTTTGGACTTGTTCAAGGATCTGTTTTAGAAGCGATTGTGATGATGATGAGAATTGTGTGTACTGAAACTAATTTCCCTCTGGGATTAATAAAGTATCTTTGAATTGAATTGAATTGAATGTCATTAACGACTTTCTTCTGAACCAGAGCTGAAGACATAAATAGCAGTCAGCTGGCTGAGCTGGAGGATGATATTCAACAACAGCTTGGAAGAACAGAGGAGCGAGTGAGAAACGAGGTGAGTGCTGCAACTCCAAGGTAAACATTTATCCTGAGAGTCACTAAAAAAATGCATGAATTATTTATTTTAAATTAAAGTTTTGTAGGTTTAGAGTCCATTTTACTTGGAGCCAAATCAAAAAAATTGGTCTTCTGAGAGCCACCTACATATTTGTGGTGCAGCACACAGCGGCGGGTTCTCTCCTCACAAAGAACCTCTGTAAAGTCTGATGAAAGCTCCACTTTAAGTTCTGAGCCAGCTCGCACCTCCCACTGCTTCGGTTTAATGTTTGCAGGAGCGGAAGAAAATGGAGGGAGTCATGGCAACAATGCGGAGGAAGCACGAAGACGAGGTCGCAGACTTGCATGCCACAGTTGACCAACTGTTGAAGGTAGGCTGTTACATGCAGCAGGTTCATACTCTGAGTTATAGAAGTCACTATAACCAAATACAATGTATATATATATATATATATATATATATATATATATATATATATATTCACTTATGTTTTTTTATTTGTTTTTATTTTTTTTTATCGAAAAACACTTTGAATATATTAGCAGTACAAGACAAATGTGCTTGTTGCAGGTCTACTTTGGAGAATGTCATAAAATACTATCACAATACTCTTCATATATATATATATATATATATATATATATATATATATATATATATACATACATACAGGCCCTTCTAAAAAAAATTAGCATATTGTGATAAAGTTCATTATTGTCTGTAATGTACTTATAAACAGACTTTCATGTATATTCGATTCATTACACACAACTGAAGTAGTTCAAGCCTTTTATTGTTTCTAATATTGATGATTTTGGCATACAGCTCATGAAAACCCAAAATTCCTATCTCAAAAAATTAGCATATCATGATAAACGTCTCTAAACGAGCTATTAACCTGATCATCTGAATCAACTAATTAACTCTAAACACCTGCAAAAGATTCCTGAGGCTTTTAAAAACTCCCAGCCTGGTTCATTACTCAAAACCGCAATCATGGGTAAGACTGCCGACCTGACTGCTGTCCAGAAGGCCATCATTGACACCCTTTTGCTTGAGGGTAAGACACAGAAAGAAATTTCTGAATGAATAGGCTGTTCCCAGAATGCTGTATCAAAGCACCTCAGTAGGAAGTCTGTGGGAAGGATAAAGTGTGGCAGAAAACGCTGCACAACGAGAAGAGGTGACCGGACCCTGAGGAAAATTGTGGAGGACAGATTCCAGACCTTGGGGGACCTGAGGAAAGAGTGGACTGAGTCTGGAGTAGAAACATCCAGAGCCACCGTGTACAGGCGTGTGCAGGAAATGGGCTACAGGTGCCGCGTTCCCCAGGTCAAGCCACTTTTGAACCAGAAACAGCGGCAGAAGCGCCTGACCTGGGCTGCAGAGAAGCAGCACTGGACTGTTGCTCAGTGGTCCAAAGTACTGTTTTTGGATAAAAGCAAATTTTGCATGTCATTCGGAAATCAAGGTGCCAGAGTGTGGAGGGAGACTGGGCAGAGGGAAATGCCAAAATGCCTGAAGTCCAGTGTCAAGTACCCACAGTCAGTGATGGTCTGGGTGCCATGTCAGCTGCTGGTGTTGGTCCACTGTGTTTTATCAAGGGCAGGGTCAATGCAGCTAGCTATCAGGGGATTTTGGAGTACTTCATGCTTCCATCTGCTGAAAAGCTTTATGGGGATGAAGATTTCATTTTTCAGCATGACCTGGCACCTGCTCACAGTGCCAAAACCACTGGTAAATGGTTACTGACCATGGTACAGTGGGGCAAAAAAGTATTTAGTCAGCCACCGATTGTGCAAGTTCTCCCACTTAAAATGATGACAGAGGTCAGTAATTTTCATCATAGGTACACTTCAACTGTGAGAGACAGAATGTGAAAAAAAATCCATGAATTCACATGGCAGGATTTTTAAAGAATTTATTTGTAAATCATCCTGGATATCAGCACTCCAGGACTAGGGTTTCCTACTCCTGATTTAGAGTAAATAAACAGCTGATTACTTTCTTGTTGATGTAACTGCCATTATTGGCCAGTAGATGGCGATAGTTGATAATAAAGCTGTATCTCTGGGAAATTTGTGGTCCTCCCAAAGATTCCAGTGTTAAAATACTTGTCATTTCTGTAAAGTGTAATAAAATAAATTCTATATCTGAGTATTAAAAATACATAAGTATATTTTATTTATATAGCATGTATCACAGACATAGAATCACAAAGTGCTTCACATAGATCAAAACAACATAAAACAGTCATGAAATCATAATGATCTCAAAACAGAAATAGATTAACATCAGTAAAATAAAGTCATAAAATTATAAAATTTCATAAACAGATGAAAGATTACAATTTTGAGTTTAAAAATAAGAAAATAAAAGGTTTAGGTAAAAGCAGCTAAAAATTAAAGCTGCAAGCAGTGTCGTTCGGCCCTCGCAGCTCCGGCCTGGCCGGCAGCCCGGGGCACCCGGGCACGTCCACAGAACATACACGTTGACCTCTGTGACTCCAGACATCGCGCACGGTCTCCTCGTCTGCACTATACCCTGACTCAGTATCTCCTCTGAGCCCACCATTAAATTACACATCTCACCACTAGGGGATACCCTGTCTTTACCACACTGGTGGTGTGATGACACAGACCAAGTTTAACGCTATTCTGACCACGTATTTTGAAGTTATTGAAGGTTAAAGTTATCTAGGAAGCGCTGTGACCAACTACAGAAAAATCCCACTGAGGTCAGCTTTGGTGGACAAAGATGGTTTTATGTTAATTTACCATCAATCAGACATTGTTTGTGTTATCTAGAGCCAGAGAGCTGAAAGGGGGTGGAACCAACAACCACATCAATGTGTTTGGTGCAGTCACGTGATGACACAAGCCAAGTTTAATGCCATTGTGACTTTGTATTAGGAAGTAATTAACTTATTCGTATCTAGGGGGTGCTGTGACCAATTACATAAAAATCCCATTGAGGTCCTCTTAGGGAGTCAAAGATGGTTTTGTGATAGTTTGGCATCAGACATTTCTAGAGCCAGAGAGCTGAAAAGGGGTGGAGCTAAAGGGAGTTGAACCAACAGCCACATCAATGTGTTTGGTGCAGCCACTTGATGACACAAGCCAAGTATAATGCATTCTGACCTTGTCTTTAGAAGTTTATAGTTTGAACCCATCTAGGGGGCACTGTGACCATTTACAACTAAATCCCATAGAGGTCATCTTTGGTCGTTAAAGATGGTTTTCTGTTAATATGGCATCAACCAAACGTTGCATGGGTCATCTAGAGCCAAAAGTCTGTAAGTGGGCGGAGTTAAAGTGATTTGAACGAGTGAGCCCATACATGTGTTGATTGCAGTTGTGTGATGACTCATGACTAAAGATAGCGCCACAAAACTTCTGGTTTGTTATAGTTTGGAGCTTTTTTGTGGAAGTTACAAAAGTTTTATTGTATCTAGGGGTGCTGTCCCAAATTTAGGAAAATATCCTATGGAGCAGTTTGTAGGTTGATGACAATCATTTGCATGTAGTTTCGTGTGAATTGCATTATGCATGTGTTATTCAGGGCCTAACATCTGTCAGGAGCGGAGCTAAAGCGATATCGACCAATGACCACAGGATTGTGTTGGGTGCCTTTGTGTGATGACACATAGTAAGTTTGGTGCAGTTGCGACCTCGACTGTAGGAGTTATTACAGTTTCAAAGGTATGTAGGGGCGTTGTGGTGATATTAGACAATGTTCACCAACCATTTGTGCCTTATTGGCTAAAGGGCAGGATTGTTGATTGCCATGTTCAGTCTCGTGCAGATTGGAGGCTAATTATGAAAGTTACAGTCAAACATAAGGTCATGGCATCATGCCAGAATTTGCTATGGCATAAACACCCCTCCCTTTCTGGAAAGCTATCAGAACTGAATGGTCATTACAGCATCATGAAGAACGTGCACGACCTTAGTGTCATGTTGACTAAATTAGAGGGGAAAATTATGGGCATTTCACCATAAAAAATAAACTTCCTGTTGTCAGGGGGCGTGGCTTGGGTGATGTCAGCTGTTCACATTGTCATTGTCTTGAGATGTGGTCAGTGATCACACGGACAAAGTTTGATATAGATCTGATCATGCACATGGGAGTTATGTCAAGGAATGTAATGGCAAAAGGTCAAAGTTTGAGGCTAAGCCACGCCCATGCCTTTCAACTTATTTGAAATCTGACGGTTGATTTTTTTCCCCTACATCTTAAGAGTATATAGCAGAAGTTTGAAAGTGATTGGTGAAAAGTGTGACGGGGCATCTTTGTCCAAACGTGTGCGAAAACCACTAAATCGAGTACTTGGACCGACCTCCTTGTGCGACTTTGCGCTTGGCTCCAAGAGAATTTTTTGTAGGTCCTGAAACACTACATTAGTGTACCGAATTTCGTAACCCTCAGTCAAAGCATAGCTTGGGGCTGACAGTTTTAATGGTCCTGGGGGCGCTATCTAAGAAAATAGGCCGCGCCCACCCGATTTTCACATCAAATTTTTTGGGGGGCCAGACTAGGATCACTCACCAGAAGTTTTGTGGCGATATCTTTAGAAATGACGAAATGGGAGGCAAACGTATGGCCACGGAGGTACGCCTGACTTTGCTGCGCCGCAACAGCCCCGCCTTCTTTTGAAAACTCTCATAATGTGATGCCAAGCAACCCCCACTTGTCTTGAGTTACCAGCTACAAACCTGTGGTGATTAAGTGAAATGGGGCGATTTGGGACCTATCACAGTAAAACTTGACCTTTTTGGTCCTGAGGGACTTGTGTGATGTCATCATCCGACCATTCATTTTAGTTTGTGGGTGGATGACGAATAACCTCAGAAATTTTTGTAACTCTACTCTATTTGGGTATGAAGTTATAGCCATTTATACTTTTTTGGCGAGTAGTCGAACTTCGAGGCCTGGCCACGCCCCCTCAGCATATACGAAAAGTCAGTTTTATTTTTTCTATTTGATCGCCAATCCCTTCTGAGCAATTTCCCACAACTTTTGAGATGATCGTGCGAAAAATGATTGAGTAAATCAATCAGATGCGGACCCTAGAAACGACCAAAACGGGGTCAAAATCACCATTTCAACTCAAAATGGCCGACTTCCTAGTTGAAGTTTGACCATGGCTGCAAGAGGCTTTTCTGTGCGGACTGTTGAGTACTACAAGTGTACAAAATTTCATAACTGTACGACAAACTAAGGTTTAGGGAGGGGGTTATTTTTCACATTCTAGGGGGCGCTGTGGAGCAAGTTTGATTGCGATTTTTTTAGTGACCTTTAAAATACAAAATTTTACACCACGCCTGACATGTGCGCAAAAAATCCTGAGTTTTGTGCATGTTAAGGCCTCCAAAAAGCCAATTTACTTGGCGGAAGAAAAATAAGCATTAGAAAAACAATAGGCCTTTACAGCGCTTGCGCTGCTCGGGCCTAATAAAAGGTCTTTAGCTGTTTTTTTTTAAGTGTCCAGACTGTCAGTGCTATTTAAGGATAAAGGAAGATCATTCCAAAGTCGGGTTGCAACATTCTGGAAGGAGCCATCACCTCGACTTTTGTCAAGGTGATGGCTCCTTGGTCTTTGGAACTTCTAGAAGGTTCTGGTGTGTGGACCTGAGGGCTCGGGTTGGAGCATAAGGCTTTAACGGTTCAGCAATATAGGGAGGAGCTTGACCATGTAGAGCATTGAAAGTTCTAGTCAGGATTCTAAAATGAGCTCTAAAGTTTATGGGTAACCAGTGCACAGACAGAATAGGAGTGATGTGTGCTTTTCTGTTTGCTCCAGTTAGGAGCCTCGCTGGAGAGTTCTGGACCAACTGAATCTGAGATGCTGCTTACATAATAAAAGACTCTGATTATTTGTTATGTGGCTCTGACATTAAGTAAACACATTAACCTCCAGAGACTCAAATTTCTTATTTGGTGTGTGATGTAAAATAAAAAATATTGACTATAAAAAACAGAAATAAGAGATTTTTAACTTAAATTCTATATCAAATGTTTCTAAATAATACAAAAATGGTTTAAGTTGAAGAGAATAAAATATTTTAGTGCAAGAAGCCAATGTTCATATATGTGGATGCAAGGTCTTAGGAGGTTAAAGAGGTGCAAAGTTTTATTTCTTTATTTTTTCTGCTTTTTTAACCAGTATTATGAAATAAAATGCTTATTTGTTTAATCTCAAGAATCAAGCAAGTTCGGGACTGAACGAGTCCAAGGAGGAGGTGCTCAAACTGAACAACCAAATTACTGATCTGCTGCAGGTAATTCACTCCGGAAATAAGCCCAATAATATCGCATGTATGTTCTTCAGAATTGTTCAGAAAATTATTTCTTTACAGCAAAATGAGCAGCTGCGAGGTTCTCTGCTGCAAGCGCGGACAAACATCTCCATCCTCCACTCTGAGCTGGATAAGTTGAAGAACATGTACACAGACCAGAAGGCTCAACATGACAGGTAAAATAAAATCTTTTTTTACAGCTCATAAAGGTAGGATCTGTCAGTAAAAAGTGTTTTGTTTGTTTTTTTGCAGAGAAACTGAAGAGTTGAAGAAGATGGTTGTGGAATATCAGTCGTACGCCAGTCAGATTCAGATCCTACAGTGAGTTTTTCTTTGAGTTCATTTTGTTGTCTAATGATTATCACTTACAGGTCTAATGCAGTGAAAATTATCAAGAGAACCAACTGTAACTGTGATAAACATGCATCAGATGAACTTTTGTCTCAAGATAAACAAATATCTTAAAGAGCAAGTCACTCCAAATCAACATTTTTTTGCTGATAAACTATATAAATGAGTGTCTGATCGTGCTGCAGCCACGTGTAGTCAATAATTCGGCACTTTAGTGCATCTTAGTTAAAATTAAAATATTCTGCCTAAAACTGTCAGCGATGCACCGTTGTCAGGCAAAAACTCTGCACTGCATTCGAATTTAAATCTGCCATCGCTATTGGCTAAGAGGTACACTATGATGTTCGATGGTACATTATGATGTCACAATGTTTGAGTGTGTGTATTTGTTAGCGGCTCCGCCCTCTCGGTCTGCTAGGCAACAGCATTTGTTGCATTTTTAAAACAGGAAGTGGCAGTTGAGTAAGAATCTGGTAGGGGGTGACTTGCTCTTTAAGTTGGTCATGTACATCAACCCAACTGAACATTGTTAAAATGCAGCTAATGGCTAAAGTAAAGCTAATGAAAATGCAGATAAGATAAATTAAAACATAATTTAGCAAGAACCAATTCATGATTTAAAAGCCAATCCAAGTCATAAAAGTACATTTTCACTTGGGACTTGAAGGCTGCAATGGATGTTGACTGAATTGTAACAGGCAAGGCATTCCAGAGAACAGGCGCCGCATGCACGACGGCTCACTCCCTCCTCATTTTATAGTTCAACGAGGGGGTGCAAAGCAACATGCAGTCGGCCGACCTCAGTGGGCGCGTTGGTACGTAGGGCTTTAGTCAGCCAGGTATGTTGGTGCAAGGCCATTTAGTGCTTTAAAAACAAAAATCAGGACCATAAATCGAACCCTGAACAGGACTTGGATCCAGTGCAGGCAAGCGAAAATTGGGGTGACATGACTCCGCTGGTTTGTATCTGTCAAGAACCTCACTGCAGCATTTTGGACCAACTGCAGTCTGTTTATACGAGACTGCATTTATAAACTTGGCCAGTCTAAAATATTTCATGCACATTATATAAACCCTAAAATATAATGCATGCAGGTTTATAACTGTCTTGTTTCCTCAAACACATCATCAGGGAAATGAATAAAAAGCTGTATGACAGTAATGATGGGCTGCGCTCCGCTTTAGCCGGTCAAGTGGTTGCAGCTAAGAGAAGGGTAAGTTCCTCACAACCACTGGCTTTGTGTCTAGTAGAAGCTTAAAGCTTTCACTAGTAAGAAGTTTTCAACCTGGTGTTTCTAATGTGCACCGCAGCTGTCTCCCCAAAATGAAATCCCAGCTCGAAGAATGAAACCGCTCCGACAGAGCACGCTCAACCACGGCAGGTACATAAAGTTCTCTTAATCGCCTGCATGGGTCTGCAGGTTGGTTTCTGCAGAATGAATTTGTTTGTGTGTGTTTGTTGCTGGGGGTGTGCAGACCAGAGCATGATCCTTCCATCTCTCGAGTGGCCATCTGGGCTGATCAGTACCTGGACAGCGGGCTGTCCCTGCCGATGGACACGGCTGAGAGCGAATACGATAGCGATGATAGCAGGAGCTCAGTGGAAACCGTTCACCACAGCTACTCCTATGTCCCCTCTGATGTAGAGGTACGGAGTGAGCTTGAGAAAGCCCCACGGTTGTGCCAAGGTGTTAGTGTATTTGTCCTGTTTTGCTACAGATATCTGAGGTGAAATCTGAGGCTGCAGTGTCCGTGGCTCCCAGCAGAGCCAGCTCCGTAGCTTCATCCCTGCGAAGACGCCTGTCTGCCTTTTCCATGAAGGTAACACGCCCAGGGCATGACTTCACACCAGTAAACATTTATGGTTATTATTTAGACTTAAAGAAGCACTAAAGTGAATAAGTAGTTTAATGGGGGAAATGTTTTTTGATTCTGCCATGAGAAACTTAAGTTTTTGTGTTCTTTTCAAATTCATCATCCCAGTTTGGAGAGTTTGTGTTCTTTCTTGTGACATTTTCCCAGCAGTTTGAGGAGGACATTGCAGAGACCAAAGAGCCGAGCCCCATGTACCGTGTGGTTTTAGCCGGAGACGCAGGAGCTGGAAAGTCCAGCTTGCTGTTGCGGCTGACGCTCAATGAATTCAGAGGAGACATTCAGACGACGCTGGGTGGGTGCCTCAACAAAAACACATCAACTTTTTTGCATGTTTTCCACATAAATAAGTTTGGCCTTACAGAAATAGTTTGACGTTGCTGTGAAAGGCTGTCAGATTGCTCTATGAAAGAAATAATTTAACTTTGGAGGGCTTAGTTCTGACATCTATTATTATGGAAAATGTCCACAGAAAACGGAAAAGGAAAAATATGCAATCTAAATAAAGCGTGATGAGTGTTGTTTATTTGTGCTTTCAGGTGTGGATTTCCAGATGAAGAGGATGCTGGTGGATGGAGAGACGACAAGTCTGCAGATCTGGGACACAGCTGGCCAGGAGAGGTACGCCACTGCTTCAAGGATGTTTACCAAGGAAGCAGCAACAGGAAAAATATTGTTAGGGCACTAGTGTAAATATGCAAACATCTTTTCATGTAGACTCAATGAAAAATACACAAAACCTAAAAGAAGCACCACGTTTCCTTTGACTTTAGGTTCCGTAGCATCGCCAAGTCCTATTTCCGTAAAGCTCACGGAGTCCTGCTGCTCTATGATGTAACTTCAGAGAGCAGCTTCCTGAACGTCAGAGCATGGGTTGATGAGATTCAGGTGACTGGTGTTGCTGCTGAGATGAAAATTTCCCTCCACCGTAAGGAATTGTGTTTACTGTTCTTTGTTTGTATGAAGGAATCCACCGATGAGGTCGCCCTGTGTGTTGTTGGAAACAAGGTGGACCTCCGGGAGCAGCTTCCAGCAGGAAGCTGTGTCAGCACTTCACATGGGGAGCAGCTTGCCAAGGTGAGTTTAAATTCCACCAGGTGGGAAAAGGTTTACACGAATGCACGGCGGCCAATGCATCAGAGTAAACCGACTGCTGGGGATGTTGCAGGCTTACGGTGCTTTGTTCTGCGAAACGAGCGCCAAAGATGGGACCAACGTAGTCGAGGCTGTGCTTCATCTGGCAAGGTAGGAGGCAGAAGACACTTCAGTTTGCTTTTCCTCTCAGACCACGTCAGCGCTCACCCTTTTCCTTTAAAACCTTTCACAGAGAAGTGAAGAAAGTTGGTAATCTGAGGTGTCGGTCAGAATCTCGAGTCAAACTGAATCAAACCAACCCAAAGAAGACTTTTAACAGCTGCTGTGGACGATAAACGACTGATGTTTGTACATTTTCACAAACGATGAAGGACGAACAACAGAATCCTTTTGTTTTTTTTTTTACTTTGGAAGATTTCTCTTTTAAGCGTTCATACAGCTCGTTCCCTATTGAAATCAAGCAGCTGTAAAACTACATTGTACAAAGAAATGCACATATTTTCAAAATGATTTTAATCTATTTTTAGAAGTAAATTAATGAAATAAAGATGCTTAACAAATGTTTGAGATCGTAAATATTTTATTTTTATCAGGCTTTTTGTATTTTGTTCAATGCACTGTCACCACTTAAGACCACATTTCTTGCACATGTGCCATTTTTAGTAAATTTTTACACTTTATTGTAGGCATGTTTTTTATTTTAACATTTGTACTTTTTGAGCACTGATCAAAGTTTTTAGATCCGTTTTATTTGCATGTTTGTAGAGTTTTAACAAATTCTGTAGCAGATTTTCAGACATGGACAGAAATGCACTTCTTTACCCAAATAAAGGGAGAAAACGACTTTTCTTAGAAATGTGTGTTGTATCGATCTGCTGGTGGTTAAATCTCACTTGATTCTTCAGGCCACCGTTCAGCCAAGTTCAGGCTCGAGTGCTTTCCTCAGTGGAAACCTGACGACTTGAGACCAAATTGCTCCTTCACATCAGGATGGGATTTCCTTCCTGTAGGGGATTTCAGTTTTTTGCAGTCAGAATCAATGAGGTCACTAAGCTGCACAAGGCCACCGCCAGAGCTCCCAATATGAACTTCCAGGAAACTCCCTGAAACACAAAGCCAGACTGAGTCTGATGCATGACTTACCTTTTAAAGATAAAGTTGTGCATAATCATGGGAATTAGTCATTAATTTGGGACTTTTAGTGATTTCAGTTTTTTCCTTTTTCTTAATCTGGAATATTTTATACTTTAGCGAGTTGCTTCTTTTATCCAACATAATTCTGACTGAATATTTGAGCACACTTTTCTAGATTTAGATTGCACTCTGACTCAAGTTTGAAGCCTTAGCTGAGGGCTGGGATTTAATGTAAGTTGGTTTCATCCAATCAGAAACCAGATCTGGGGTTTTTTGGGACCATTATCCTCCTGGAATGCCCAACTATGTCCAAATATCAACCATCAAATTTTTTTAAAGTAGAGTTTTAAAAAATTTTGGGGGAGCCCTCCTTTATTTTATCCATAACATGAAGCTGCCACCACTGTGCCCAGCAGCTGGAGTATAGTCAGATTTTTCACTTCTGTGTTATTATGGCCAAAAAGCTCAATCGTTGTCTTGTCTGTGTGGACAGCAAAAATTTCATTGGGTGTCTCTTAGAAAAGGAACTTCTTTGGAGCCAGTTTCCTTTCCTCTGAGGTTGGGTCATCTTTTGCATCTTGGTAATGAACTAACCTTCAAATAACTTGTTTGAAACTATTAAATAGCCCCCAAAAAACTTTCCAACTTGCAAAAGTCTACAACTATTCGTAAGTTTCCATTTTTGAGTTTATCCAACTTTTTTAAATTTTATTATGTTTTTTAATGCTGCATTGACAAATCAGCAGTTAGTCATGATCAGTTAATCAATTATTGCTTTGTCAAGTTAAAACACTGCCTGGAACCTGATGAAACATTTAGGTCAATGTTTGTATATTTGAGTATGTAGAAGTAATTGCAAGCTTCTGGTGACAAGAGAAATAATAAATTCCAAACTTCTAATACCAGTTCTGAAAAATCAAAGCTGTATGTCATTCTACCCTGGAATAAAAATAATTCCAATTAATCATTAAAAGCCCCAAATTAATGGCATTAATTGCAGCGATGTAAACTTCTGATCACAGCTGTCTATGGTGGCTTACAGATGTTTTTTTCCTGGAAGGAATCAGGAAAGGAGCAATGTTTTCTCCAAGCATCTCTGCTGGTTTGGCTTGAAATTGCTGGGTGTCATTGCCTCCCGATTGCCTTTGGACAAGTTTGGATAACTCTGCATGGATTGCCTGAGGAATGAGGGCAAACCGATGTTATCGAAAGCTAGTATAGGCTGATTAACCACAGAAGATAAGGGCAGAGGTTTAAAATGCAGTTGTCAACCTTCGAGATAAACATGGTCTAGCATACAATAAAAAATTCTGTTTCTGTGCCTGATGGGAAATGTTTCCTTTTTTTTTTTTCTTTTTTTTTTCCCCCACAGATGACCAGAACAGGAAAAACTCTGCAAAATTAAAACAACTTTCTTTCTCAGAGCAGCAAAACTGAGTTTGGGACAAGGGCGTATCACCGAAGCAGCAGATATTTTCGTTTTGTCTAGACAAGACCAGACATATTTGTGAGGGTGGCAGCGTGCCCTTTGTGTCAGGTCACTGTAATACTGGCTGCTGTGTTTTGTAAACAGCTGATGGAAAGTCCTTCTCACACACTGTGCCGCTTCGGACCCACATCTCTAAATAGAGGCCATGAACTGAGGTTTTTGTTGTGATGACCAGTTCTGTACAGAAATAAGCCCAATTATACAGCATGAAGTGTGTTTTGGTGCTGGAAAGGATGAATCACACCTCCTTTGAGGAAAAAAAAAAGACTACTTTTGGCACAGAAATCTTCAGAGTGACAATTTAGTCGTGTGTGTGTGTGTGTGTGTGTGTGTGTGTGTGTGCTTTTAAAACTAGCACGGGATGTGTGCTGTTTGAGACTTTTTGGAGACATTGACAGGTTAAACCACAGACAAGTTGGAACAAATCCTAAACAGAAGCAATTGACTTGGATGGATCTCTTCAGACTGAACGTGTAAACCTTTTGACAATAAAGGTGAGAGTGTAAAGATGCTCTGTTAGCAAACAGATCAAGAATCCAGGCGCTGCTAGAAGCAAAGACTAGAAATCATTTAAACCACTCACTGATTCTCAGCTGGACTGGGTTTGAGACCCAGCATCATCTCTTAATGACAAGCTGTGACCCAAATCGAGAAAAAACTTCTCAGTTATTTAATGGTTCCATTTAAACTCCTGAAGTGATGGTAGACAAAGCAACTCTGAGATCATACTTAATGTCTGTTTCTCTGTTTTGTCTTTAGCTGAACAAGAGCTGAGAAACTGATCTCACAAATGGGCCTTTTCCATTGCCAATACTCGGCGTGACCCGGGAGGGTGCGGTTCGGTCTGGCCGCCTTTTCCAACAATACGGTTCAGTATTTTCTCCCAACTTTCTCCAGTACCGCAGCTGTCGGCCATTGATTGGCTATGGGGCGGAGTCACTGGCTGCTGCCTCGCTGCCTGCAGTCATTTCCTGGGTCAGAATCTGACAAAAAGCCATAAAACTGAGCAAAATGTTCATCGCTGCCATTTTTGTGGCAATTTCGATTTCTGTGTGGCATAAAGAACACCTTGGGCTCAGTAAATATGAGTGCTGCGAGTCTAATCCCTAATTTAGCTCAGTCCCAGTACTCGCACTTACAACATTGCGCCCTCAATTGCGCGTTCCGGGCCATGCGAGTGTGTAAGATGTCCCAAATCTCAAGCGCTGAGGTTGACCACGCCCCTTTTGTACCCTTTATCCATCCCTCACCAAGGGTATTACCCACAACCCATTACTGCGTGGTGAAGATAAGGTGGAGCAATGGCTCAAGTGCTTTTCTGGAAAATGTATTTTCAAAGGAAAATTTAATTTTAAGACAATACGAATTCATGCTCTGAATGTTTTAGACTAAGATTTAATGTGGACAGCAATTAATGTAAACTTAGTCAAATAATGGTTTGAAAGTTGTTAATAAAGACTCTTTAAAAGTAGCACAGTGACCGGTGTCCCAGCATGTGTCGTGGTCGACGACGCAATGCTCCATGTCCCGATTCAGCAATTATTTGCACACTTGTGTACTTACTGCACACTTCCTGCAAGTGCACTTCACAGAAGAGCTCAATCTCAATACTCGCACTGCACCCTGCAGTCTTCAGCAAAGTGCACTTGGAGAAAGTGTGCAGTAGGGTTCGAGTGTGTAGTGCAAAGGAGTGCAAATAATTGCCTAATCGAGACAGAGAGCATTGCGTCATCGATCTCAACCCATGCCGGGATGATGGTCACTGTGAAACTATTTTCAAAAACCTTTATTAACAACTTTAAAACAAACAAAGCAATTATTTGAAATAAATGTAACCTCATTGCCGCTTTGTCTACAACATTCAGAGCATCAACTAATCATCCTAAAATGAACTAATTTCATTAGAAAATACATATTTTCAGAAAAGGAACTTGAGCTTTTTCTTCCGCAGCAATGACTTGTGGGTAATACCCTTGTCCGAGGTCTGCATCGCTGCGACTTGGCTGAAGTGCAGATTAAGGGCGCAATGGGGGCGTCGTCAACTTCCGCACTTGGAAATCGGGACACCTTACGCACTCACACCCCTGGCCGGGAATGTGCAATTGAAGGGCGCAAGGGTGCAAGTGCGAGCATTGGGATTGGGCCTTTGTGTTGTAAAATTGCAGGAAGCGATTAGCACTCCGCAACTGTGCTGCCACCTGCTGCTGAGGAGTGGGAAAATACTGCACTCCAGTCACAAAAAGGTCCCCTTCAAAATAAAACTGCATGATTTTGATATAACACTTTGCACTGGTAAAGGCCCGCAACCCACAAAATTAAATTCACTGATTTAAACTGAATGGAAATTTAGCACAAGTGTGTAAGGCAAATTCCAGGTTGACTGGTAAGAGGAAAAACTTTCTGACCCACTTGGTCTCTCTCACCTTGGTGGTAGGCTCTAGTTTCAGGGCCTTTTTCAGCACCTCCATGGCCTCTTTGTATTCTCCCTTATCTGACAGCAGCTGAAAGAGATTAGAAGACCTGCAATGTGAGCACTGGAGCACTCCGGAATCAAAACATAAAGAGGGCAAGTAATGCAACAACTCTTTTTTTTTCCTCCACCCAATAATGGAATTAAATCCCGCAGTAAACAATGGCTCCCTTTTCCAAGAATCCCTCTCTGCAGGCCTCATTTAGTATGGATCAGATAAGGTGCTTCATGTCATCTCCTGGTGTTAGAAGGTGACAGGACTGGGACCCTAACCTTTCCCGTCCTGAAGAGGGCCTTGACGTTGTTTGATTCGAGGGTCAAGACGTCCCGGCTGGTCTTCAGCGCCTCGTCGAACTGCTCCAGCTTGATCTGAGTGGTGGCCAGGTTGTTTAAACACTTCACCCGGTATTCCTGCACCTCTTCCTCTTCTGCCTTCATGCCAGCATCGCTGCCATCTGCACAGACACACACGTGTATCATCCCTTGCCCTGCTAAACTGGACAATGAATCCATTACTTTTACTGCAAACACTTAAATGGAAGAGGAATTGGGGTTTCTCTGAATTCTCCCTGCAGGTTTTATGATCCAGCTATCTCCTGCTTTGCTGGATATTGCAATTTTCTTCTTTTTTTATTCAGTTGGGCTTCAAGTTTGATGCAGAAGCCATGCCGGGTGAAATAAGCACTTGTTGGTACAAAAGGCACTTTACTCTTGACTCAGTGTATGTTGGGTAAGAACTGCTAGAAGCTTGAGGAGGACTTCTGCACAGCTGCATTTAGTCAACTCTTTTAAAGCAGTTTTTCCAAGTATAACTCTAAATACTAACATTATTGATGCATTTAGAAGCAACGGAACTTAAAACTCGGACATAAACAGCAGCAGGCCATCGGCATTCCTCCAAGAACCACCAGGCCTTTAATTTGTTCTTCATCCAGCATCTGGATTCGATGTCAGATGTGGCACTCATTACCTAAATCATACATTTTATTCCGAGAAGACATTCACGACTTGCACTTAAATCGATTGTGACCTGCATAGCGTTTTTGTTTTCTGAGTGCACATTCAGTTGGTCGATTAGTCGTTTTTAACCCACAGTTGAACTTCTCTTTGACCCCAAGTGACCTCAGATGTCACCCTGCTCCGATCTCCCTCTTGGGGTTGACTAATGAAACAATCTGGATGCTATCATAATCTCCTCGCTTGAGTGCCCTGCTGAAGTCACTAACTGGTCAGCCATCATTGATGCATCATGAAGCGGTTCATGTTTGTCTCCTCATTGTCTCGATCAGCCACGCTTCTCCCTCGGGGTTTCTCTGCCTCGTCAATGATTTAAGTGATTAAGAAGGTGGGAATAGTCGAGGAGCTGATTGGCTTTGATTATGCAAAAGAATGAAACAGAAGCTTCTAAGGCGGACATGGTAATGCATGGAGGCGTTGTGATTAGTGCGGTGTGTTATGTCACGATGATCTGAGGGTTGATGTGTGAGGTCCCTTATTATACCAACACATTCCTGTTGTGACCAGCAGGATGGAAATATTCCTCATGAATAGCTCCAGGTTGGTTTGAGGGTTACCTGTGCCACGTGTGGTTAACACCTCCAGGGCCACACAATACGCTTTGGCAGCCAGGCTGTACTCCTCCCTCTGGAAGTGAAAGTTTCCACGCTCTCGCTTCTGGTTGCCGATGCGAATGCGGTCGGCGATGGGCAGAGTCAACGGGTCTGGTTTCTCTCTGGTGTCCAGCAGCTGCAGCTGGTAGAGTACAGGAGCCCAGGCAGGGATGTCAGGCTCTCTGCACACAAAAAACAAACACATCATAGAAATCATCACAAGGAAAATAAGCGCCCTCCACTAAAATACACCAGATGTCTTCTAACCTCTCAGGAAAAAAATAACTGCTAATAAATCAGACTCAAAAACATTTACTTCAGCTCTTAAATCAGTTAGAAAGTGGAGCAAAAACCCACTCGAGCTCCTCAACACTAACAAGCCGCTAAAACTCTGTGCCGCACAAATACTGCGCAACAATTCTGCTCTCAGGAATTTTTCTTAAGGGGTCTGGTGATCAGGTATTGTTTGCCGTTTCCAGTTCACATGTGCACAGGAAACTGCTTGAGTTAGATATGCTCAGCTGTAAATATTCCAGAGTGTCACCTGGCCCCAGGAGTCAAACAGGGGCAGAAAACAAGGCTGCTGGCTTGTTTCAGGATAACGTGTTTACGTTGATATCTGGAATACAAAGAGCGACTGGTGCTCTGTGACATAAAATTACTCATCACACCCATGATCTACTAAATCTACTAAAAGTATACAAGTTTGCAAAAGATGAAATCATGTTTTCGCTTGTGTGTTAGTAAAATAGGCCCTGAACTTCTGAATGGATTTAAATGACACTTTTGGAAAAATGCACATCTATGAGTTCAACATGGCTTCCATGGCTAATCGACACAAAACACCAAAATGACAAATAAGTTTAGCATTTATTTATATATCATTTGGCATGGCAGTTGCTGTGAGATTTTTGCAACACACACTCAAGAGCATTGACAGATCTAAAGAAATAAAAAAAAAAACTTCAAAACCTAGAAATCTAGACAGATCATAGCAGTAGCAAAGCTTTTGCTCTGCATGTCAGTCTAGCCATGCTCTACAGGAGCCTCAGCAGGTCTTCCATTGGCCTGAGCAGTTTGGTGTTGTGCCAATCACAGCACTCTATAGGTTTGGTGGGCGGGATGATGCAACTAAGCGGAGCAAGATGGTGGCTGCTCATTCGAAACGGCATTGGCATCAACTTTGGACTATTTAGACTTGGGCTTTACTTTTGGTCAAGAGAAGAGCATATAGAGGTACTTAAGTCATTTATTTAGAAAAAGGATTTATTTGCATCTTCTTTGACGGGTATGCTGGACTGCCTCATTGACTGACATCTGTAGCTGTGAGTGTGTTTGTTGTTCAATAGCGTGCAACCCGCCCCACGACTGAGTTCTGTCTATGGGGCGTGGCCAGACTATATAGTCACATTTATAGGATGGCTTGCCAGCCTAAAAACTTGCAAGATCATGCCTGATGTTTATTTATTTATTTTTTATTTGCACAAATGGCTAGATTGCATGGATAAGATGTGGTGGATACATTCAAGGAATGCTAGGCCATGTGTTTTTCATCAAGAAATACAACTATGGAGGACCCTTTTTGTCAAAGTAGACAATAAATAAATACATTTAAATGTATGGGTATCAATATAGATAATTATATGTATAGGTAAGTTTATAACAACCTATTTTATTTTCATTTATTTAATTGGAAATGGGTTTATTTCCTTTTTTCCATATTTATGTATTCAGCAAATCCTTGTTTATTTTTGGCATTAAGGGTCTTCCATACAATCCATTTCTCTACCACCCTTAGCTTCCCTCTGGAACATGGAGTGTTTTTTTTCTTGAGCAGGATTATTTGCGTCACACATGAGTGAACATGATACTTATATTTTTGAGTCACACCATACCAAACTACCTTTCTCAGTGATTGTGACTAATACAAACACTTTAAGCCCCCCGCCACTGCGTAATGCTAGGGATTAAACGTTTCAACATAACGTTTCTTAGAATAGAAACCGGCAAACATTTCTCACCACTACTGTGTTTTTGTGTGTTTGCGTGTTTTTTTTTTCAGACTCTAGCTGTTTGGTACAGATTAAACATCACTGCTGCACCACAGAAGCAACACCTTTAAAGATGTCTCAGCGACTCATTTAAGCAGGTGAGAATTTGAAACGTACATGCACCTGATGGCTTCAGCTTACTCGAGAGTCACTGGGAAGGAAAGTTAATTTGGTTTTCAATCATCTGGCTGCTGTGATCACATGACTCACAAAAGTCCATTATGAGTTCCTCTGAGGAGGATCTGGTTTCCAAAGGGGTGTGTGTGTGTGTGTGTGTGTGTGTGTGTGTGTGTGTGTGTGTGTGTGTGTGTGTGTGCGCGTGTGCGCATGCGTGCGCGTGCGTGTGTGTGTGTGTCAGAAGAAAGCTGTACAAGGATGAACAGACTACACTGTGACAAAAAGGGGAATATAAAAACAGAAAGTTGTTAAAAGTACAAGAGAAATCTAAATCTCTGTTTAAAATGAAACTTGTCTGAATTCCACAAACAAACTTCAAGTCAAGCACGAGGAAGTTCAGCTTCCTGTTCACCCTCCTCGCCGTCACAGCTTCCTGCGCAATAATAGCCCTGAGAGTCATGTCGTGTCATGAATAATTCAGGCTGGTTGTGCAGTGACACAGTTTGCGTTTGTCTAACACAATCGGTTGTAAGTGTTGCCCAAACTCAGCTGCATCAGCAGGTGGGATCAGATTTCTCTCCTTCAACTCTTCTCCCTCACCCGCTATCACAGGACCCATGAGGGCGCAAAACCGCCAACCGAGCCGAGGCCTTAGAAACCTGAACTGGGTTCCTGAAATCACCACCAGGGTGGCGTTTTCATTCAACAATCACATGTCTTTAATGATTCTTTCTGCTTTAGATGACTAGCACATTTTTTATACAATCACCAGTAACAAACATGTTTCCTACTCTGTCATTAATCTTTAATTAGCAGCCCCAGACATGGAACAAAGTCCACTAGTTTTACAACTTTCAGGTATTGTGTGAGTCTAACAGCATGAACAAACGTGAGTGTTGCATACAGAAACACAGAGACTGACATTGTGCACTCTTTGCTACTTTTTCTTAGAAAATATACGACAATCATTTCAGGATGTGTGTTATGTAACAGCGGGCTGCATTCAATTCAATTCAATAATACTTTATTAATCCCAGAGGGAAATTAGAGTTTCAGTTCACACAATTCTGAGATCAGACATACATACATAGACACATGACAAGAATTGGTGACTGTGGTCATTCGCAACCCGAGTCGCGCTACCATAATAGATCAAGAAGGTTTATATGAGGATAGAGTCAGGGGGAGGGGAAAAGAGGCCCTTCAGAGTTACCCTCAACAGAGAGGGTAGCTTTGCTATGCAAAAAAACTCCTCAGACAGATATTCACACAGACTTCAGACATTACACAACATAAGTGTCCACTAGGTGGGGTGGTAGGGTTGGGACTCTCCTCACTTCGGTGCGTGCAGCCGCATGGAGCAGCGCGTTTCACCTCCGTTTGGACAGGGGAGGGAGATAATGGGTTAAAGAGCACATTGACTCCAATATGTGGCCTTCACCGGTCACATTCCCGCCCAGGCTGGGATAGGGAGAAGAGTTACCATAGCAACAGCCGCATTCCACATTTCTTCTGAGGGGGGAGTTTTAACTTCAGACTCACAGGCCCCAAGGACACCAGATTCAGATAAGGATTGTTTTGGGGACAGACAGAGATAATTTCCTCTCTGCCTTAGAGTTCTGTTGGTCTACAACCCCTCTAGATCCAATAATGGCATAAATAATCTATCCCAATACGTGCTGATCCATCCACAACTCTGTCCTTGATAGAATCCACCTTCTGTGTCAGAGCCTGAATCTCAGCCAAAGTTCCAAGCTTACAACTCATCTTGACAATTATATGAGTTTGTGAGCTCACAGTGCGATGCATTCCATCCCTGAGCTCCGGGATTGAGCCAATATTCCTCAAAAGCTCGTTAACTTTCCGGTAAGCCAGGTAACCACTCAGGCCAAACAGCAGGAATCCCGACACCAAAACCCTGAATATCCAGACATCTTCAGAATCCTCTACAGACAGTTGAGAGAGGCATATCAGGTTCCACTGTTTCCAGGAGTCCATTATATACCCAGCTGGCTCTGTCCCAGAGGGGCATCCAGGAGCCCCTTCTCCCGTTCTCATCGTTGAAAAAATGTTGTCAATCGTGTTGAGAGACCAACTGACCAGATCCATTTTAATAATTTCCAGTTTCCAGAAAAAATGCAGAAAGCGCCTTGCACAAGACAGGACAAAGAGCCTTGGGATAAGAGAGGGAGGGAGAGGAGAAAAAAGCGTCTGTACTCTCCAAGAGCCGGAAGAAGAAATGCAGGCACGGTTGGTAGCATGGTCTCATTGAAAGAAGGTCAAGGGTTGAAAACCTGGCTGCTGCCTTTCTGTGTAGTGATTGCACGTTCTTCTCATGCATGCATGGTATATATATATATATATATATATATATTTTCGGTACTCATCAAAAAAGTGCACGTTTGGTTAATACTATGTGCCCAAGTTGAAATTTGCTTTGGATTGAAGCATCAGTTTCAGACAGCGTCCTCCATACTGCGAACTTTTCTTTCTGGACTTCAGATTAAAATAGTTTTCTAAAAAATGAAGTTGTTGCAATCAAATAAAAAACATTTTCAATACAAAGTAACCCAACTGCTAATCTAAAGTTATTTTATGTTTCCTGTGACCTGGTTTCCTTCACATCAAATCTTGACTCTTAGCCCCAGAGGTGGTGGTTCCGCTTTGAGATGACTTCCTGTAGTTTTTATAGGATGAGCCCAGTCAAACCCCAGAAGCCATTGCTCCACAAAAAGGATGCCCCTCTGGCTGTAATTTGCATACTTTTGTTCAAATGTATTGTTCAATGCAATTTCTAGCTAAACAGGACATGTTCAAGGAACTGTGCATGTGTGTGAGAACTCAAAACAACAGAAATTAGTTGTTTTCTCCTTCTTTCTGATACATTGTAGACATCTGTGCAAGCATGCTATCAGACTGACTTCATGGCTGCAGAATAAAGCATTGTCACTATGGTTTCAGTGAAATGCACACAAATACAAAAAAGTAACATTCATTTTAAATCCAGCATTTAC